CCTGTTGTCCAAGGTTGAACATACTTCATGATTAACCTCTGTCCCATTTAGTCCATGCAAACCTGCCTAAGTGTGCCCCTATCATCTACCTTGTTCTTCCACCACCCTCCTCTTTCTTGTGTATTGTTCTCCCCAACACCCAAACTATGATGTGTCTATCCCCTACCTTGAGCTCTACAGTCCCCTCTTTCTCACCCTTGGTAACCAACAAAGAATTTTTTTGTTTCTCTTTTAGTATGGGTGCCTTTTGTTATGCTTTTATAGTAATGGTCTTATGCAATATTTTTCCTTTTGTGACTGACTGATTTCACTCAGCATAATGTCCTCAAGGTTCATCCATGTTAATATGGTGGCTTGTAGCTTCCTTGTTATTCTTCAAGGTAGCATAATATTCCATTGTGTGTATGCACCAAAGTTTGTTTATCCATTCTTTCATGGGTGGGCACTTAGACTGTCTCTGTCTTTCTGTTGTTGTGAATAGTGCTGCTGTGAACATTGGTGTGCATATATCTACTCGTGTATATTGGTTTGTATTTCTTGTGGATGTATACCAGGTAGAGGAATTGGTGGATCATAAGGTATTTCTATTTCCAACTTTCTGAGAAAGCAGCATATTGTTTTCTAGAATGGTTGGACCATTTTGCATTCCCACCAACAATGTATAGGGTCTTAGTCTCTCCACATCCTCGCCAGCATTTATTGTCCTCTGCTTTTTTGAACTTCATTGTTATTGTTGATGTGAGATGATGTCTCATTGTTGTTTTGATTTGCATCTCTTTAACAGCCTCAGAAACCTATGAGTCAGAACCTACTCCCCAGCACATAACAACAACAACAGTGGCTAATGTTGGTTGCCCAAATGTCTTCCTTGGTGAAGTGTCTGTTCATGTCCTGTGCCCATTTTTAAATTGGGTGGTTTGTCTTTTTCTTGTAGAGGTGTTGTAGTTTCCTATAGATTTTAGAAATTAGTCCCTTGTTTGATGTTGTTGTTGTTAAGTGCCGATCCTGAACAGGGTTTCTGAGGCTGTAAATCTTTACGGGAGCAGAAAGCCTCATCCTTCTCCCACGGAGCAGCTGGTAGTTTCGAACTGCTGACCCTGTGGTTCGCAGCCCGATTTATAACCACTACGCTACCAGAGCTCCTTGTCTGATACGTCATTGCAAAAGATTTCTTCTCATTCTGTGTGCTCCCTTTTTGCTCTTTTGGTGAAATCTTTAGATGCACATACGTTTCTGATGTTTAGTATGTCCCACTCATCTATTTTGTCCTCTTTTGTTAGTGCAATTCTCACAATGTGTGGTAGTCTGTGTCTGCCCTGTATTGTTGTTGTTGTTGTTGTTAAGTGCCATCGAGTCGGGTCCGACCCATAGCGACCCTGTACAGGGTTTCCGAGGGTGTAAATCTTTACGGGAGTAGAAAGCCTCATCTTTCTCCCGCGGAGCGGCTGGTAGTTTCGAACCGCTGACCTTAAGGTTCGCAGCCCGATTCGTAACCACTACGCTACCAGAACTCCATTGCCCTGTATTAGAGCCTATAAATTTGTCCTTTTTTTTCATTGATGACTTTTATAATTCTGGGATTCACATTAAGGTCTTTAAACCATGCTTAGTTGGTCTTTGTATATGGTGTGAGATTTTATCTTGATTTTCGATTTCCAGTTCTGCCAGCACCTTCTGTTGAAGACACTGTCTCCTCTCCATTCAGTGTGCGTTTGTTTGTTGAAGATCAGTTGGCTGTATGTGGATGGGTAAAATTTAGCATTCTCGATTTATTTCCATTGATCTGTGTATCTTTCATTGTATCAGTACTAGGCTGTTTTGACCACTGTAGCCATGTTGTAAAGTTTGCTATCAGGGAGTGAGTGGCTTCCAAGTTTGTTCTTCTTAAGCAGTGCTTTGCTTATCCTGGGTTTCTTTCCCTATAAAGTTTGTAATTGTTTTTTCCCTTTGTTTAAAGAATGTCATTGGAATTTGGATTGGGATTTCATTATATGTATAGATTACTTTGGATAGTATTGATATTTTCACATTGTTAAAAGTCTTCCTATCTAGGAGTATGGTAATCTTCAATTTTTCTAAGTCTCTTTTGGTTTCTTATAGTAGTGTTTTGTAGTTTTCTTTTACAGATTTTTTGTTTCTCTGATTAGATTTATTCCTAAATATTTCGTCATTTTTGGGTGGCTACTGTAAATGGCATTGTTTTCCTAATTTCCTTTTCAGTGCTATCATTATTAGTATAGAGGAATTCAACTGATTTTTATATGTTAATCTTGTATCTTGCCACTTCGCTAAATCTTCCAGTGAGTTCTGGTAGTTTTTTTTTTTGCTGAGTCTGCGGTTTCTTTTGTATAGAATACTATCATTTGTAAATAGAGAAGGTTTTACTTCCTCTTTCCCAATTTGGATACCTTTAATTTTCCTATCTTGCTTTATAGCTCTGATGGCTAACACTTCCAACACAATATTGAATGGTGGTGTTGGTGGTGGTGTGACGTGGAGTTGGTTCCCACTCATAGTGAATCCTATACAGGGTTTCTGAGGCTGTAAATCTTCATGGGAGCAGAATGGCTCCTCTTTCTCCAGCAAGAACTGCTGGTTGTTTAAAACTGCTGACCTTGAGGTTAGCAGCCCAATTCATAACCACTATGCTACCAGAGAACTTCTGGTGTAGTGCTGTGGGTTAATGTGCTAGATTGCAAAGTCGGTTTGAACCAAAAGGTTGGCGGTTCAAGTTTACCAGTTGCTTCTTGGAAAACCCTATACAGGGTTGTTATGGGTTGGAACTGACTCAACAGCACTTAACAACAGAAACAACAACAATGCCACCAGAGGGCATCCTTGTCTGGTTCCTATTCTCAAAAGGATGGATTTTAGTTTCTCTCCATTGAGAGTGATGTTGGCAGTTGGTTTTGTATATATGCTCTTAATTATGCTGAGAAATACCCCTTCAATTCCTACTTTGTTGAGTGTTTTTATCAGGAATGCATGTTGGGTTTTGTCAGATGCCTTTTCTGCATTAGTCGATAGGATCATGTGGTTCTTTCCCTTTTTATTTTTATTTTTATAGTGAGCTACATTGATTGTTTTTCTAATATTGAACCATTCTTGCATCCTTTATAATGAATCCCACTTTGGTCATGATGTATTATTTTTTTTTTTGGTGTGTTGTTGTCTAGGATTTTGTTGAGAATTTTATTTTAGCTCTGTTATCAGTAACATTTTACTTTATGTGTAAGAATACAAAGTAAACATGACAATAAATTAACGTTTATAAATGAGATTTTGTGTAACATGGTTGTTTTCCAAATTTAAAAAGGGGAAAACAAACATCTACTTAAAAGTGGAATCTGAATGATATAAAGTAATGTAGAATAGCAGGAATTAACATATTGTCCATCACTGTATGGAGGGAACAAATTAAAAAAAAAATTACTATCACAGTACATCCTGAAAATGTTATAAAATTCACCATGTATTCATAATCAAAAGTGAGCTAATGGAAGAAAACTTATTCAACCGATTTAAGGAGGCAAACATATTAGTATTATTTACAGTAACCATCATACTGTTTGGCACATTACCAGAAGAGCAGCTGGAAACACCAAGAAAGAAAAAATGCCATGGGTTAAGAGTTCATAAATTCATAGGGAACCATATATTGAAATGGTGTGATAACAAATGCAGTGATTATTTTGGTTTGGAAAGAAATGGGAGACCAGCTGATGCTGAAGAAAGTGTGAATTTTGCGAGAAAATAACTCCTACGAGGGGGAATGGAAGGGTCTGAGGCAGTCAGAGTTTTGAAAATACAGTCTAGTATCCTTGGATATCTTTTTTATTTAGAAGATAAAGACTAAAACCCGCTAGTATTTGTCACTAGTCTGCACAGTAAAAACAATTGTCTTCTGTTTGCTCATGAATGCTTAATCTCCAGGTTGCTGGATAATCAATGAGGACTTTGAAAATCCTCTAGGATCTCCAAGCCTTAGCCAGTCTTGAGTCTAGAACAAGGGTCTCCAGACCCTTGCATGGAGGTTGGGGAGAGAGGGGGTGGGGTGGGAGGTGGGGATGGGTGGGGAAGCTCATGGGGAGGCAGGGAGAGGTTCAAGTGGTGAACTGGGGAAAGGCCTCAGATGCTGGGAGTTCAGGATGGAGACCCAAGGAGAGCGCCCTGGGATGAGGTCCTGCAGGCAGGGGCTGAGGACTCGTTCAGTGGAGTCAGCCTGCGCTTGGGCGGTGGTCTACTAAATGGATGCGCATAAGGATCCCTGTTTCATGGTCATCTCATGCCAGGGAGCACTCAGGAAAGAGTCTAGGTCCAAGTTGACAGGCAAGTCGCTCTGCTCTGTCTTAGACGCCCTAGCCTAGGAGGGCTTCGTGGAACAGGATGAGGGTGTGGTCTCCGAGAGACACCCGCAAGACAGACGCAGGCGCTGGTTCAGGCACTAGGTCAGCATCACGCAGAGGCACTTGAAGGGCACAGTTGGTGGTCCTGGCCATGGAATTGAGAATGTCTGCGCCAGCGGCGGTTGAGGGGCTGGGGGGAGGGGGACTCTGCGGCCCAGCCTGGATCTCGGGCTCCTCCCATCAGAGACCCTTGGCTGGACGGGGTTCCACAGGCTGAGGTCGCCACCAGGGCACCACGCAGGGACGAGGGTTGCGAGGCCGCCTGTTCATCACCTGGATGGCGCTTCGGGCGGAGCTCCTGGCGTCTGGCTGAGGATGAGGGGTGCTCAGGCTCAGTCCTGTGCCATGACGGCGGGGCCTGGTGGTCCGACAGGGCGCTGGACTGCGAAATGCAGGTTGAGTCCTTGGAACTTCTGGGCTACCTCCCGGGTAGGGTAGTCTGCAGTCTGGGTCTGGGGGAGGGAAAGCTGCGCTGAGCTTGGTCTTGGGTCTTGTTGAGAATTTTTGCATCTATGTTCATGAGGGATATTGAGCTATAATTTTCTTTCCTAGTGATGTCCTTCCCTGGTTTTAGTATAAGGGTATGCTTGCTTCATAAAATGGATTAGGACGTTTTCTATCCGTTTTTATATTCTGGAATAATTTGAGTAGAATTTGGTGACATCTCTTCCCCAAATACTTGGTAAAACTCACCGGTGAAGCCATCTGGCCCTGAACTTTTTTGGTTGGGAGTATTTTGATGACCTGATCAGTTTCGTCTTTTGTTACTAGGTCTGTTCAAGTTTTCTACTTTACTCTGTGTAAGTTTAGTTAGGTAGGTTGTGTTTTTCTAAAAATTTATCCAACTCTTCATAGTATTCTGTTGTTATCCTTTTTATTTTCATTGATTCTGTTGTGACATCACCCATGTGGTTCTTATGGGTGTTATTTGTGTCTTCTCCCTCCTTTGTGTTGTTAAGTTTGCCAATGATTTGTCAATTTTATTAACCCTTTCGAAGAACCAGCTTCTTGTCATGTTGATTTTTTTTTCCTATAGTTTTTCTGTTTTTTATCTCATTTATTTCTGCTCTAATCTTTATTATTTTTCTTCTTCTGGTGACTGGGTTTACTTTGCTGGTCTGCTTTTAATTTTTGGAGATGTGCTAATGTGTTCATTTTGGTTCTTCTGTTTGAATGTATGTATTTATTGCAATAAATTGCTCTCTCAACACTGCTTTTGCCATGTCCCAAAGATTTTGGTATGTTGTGTTTTCATTCTTTTTTGTTTCTAGGAACTTTATGAATTCACCTTTTATTTGTTCTACTACCCACTAGTGTTGAAACAGGATGTTGTTTATTTTCCATGTATTAGACTTTATTTCTTTGGTCTTCCTATTGTTGATTTTTAATTTTATTGCATTGTGGTCTGAGAAGATGCTTTGTAGTATTTTGATGTTTATAAATATATGGAGGCTTGTTTTGTGGCCTAACACATGGTCAATTCTGGAGAATGTTCCATGTACACTGGGAAAGAATGTGTATTGTCCTGTTGTTGCGTTGAATGCTCTGTACACATCTATGAGATTCAGTTGGCTGATTGTGTTGTTTAGTTCCTGTGTGTCTTTGTCAAGTTTCTTTCTGGTTGTTCTGTCCTTTTCTGAAAGTGGCATATTAAAATCTCCCACTATTATTGTAGATTTGTCTGTTTCTTTCTTCAAATCTATTTGTTGTTGTTATTATATGCCGTGAAGTCTGTTCCAACTCATAGCGACCTTGTACAGGATTTCCAAGGCTGTATCTTTCACCCGCGGAACAGCTGGTAGTTTCGAACTGCTGACCTTGCAGTTCGCAGGCCTATTCGTAACCAGTATGCTACCAGAGCTCCTTTCAAATCTATTAGAGTTTGCTTTATATACTTTGGGGCTTTTTCATCGGGAGCGTAGATAATTATTATGACTACGTCATCTTGTTCAGTTGACCCTTTAATCATGCAATAATGTCCATCTTTGTCTATTGTGCTGGTTTTTGCCTTAAAATTTATTTTATCTGACATTAGTTTTGCCTCTCTTGCTCATTTTTAAATTGAGGTTGTTGTTTTTAGGTGCCATTGAGTCGGCACCGACTCATAATAGCGACCTTAATGCACAGCACAACGAAACAATGTTTGATCCTGGGCCAACCTCACTACTGTTGCCACACTTGAGACCATCCATGCTGCCACCTGGCCAATCTATCTCATTGGGGGTCTTCTTTTTGCAGTTAACTTGGTATATATATTTTTTATCATCCTTTAACTTTTAGTTGTTTTTGTCTTTGTGTGTAAGGTATGTCTATTGGAGACAGCATGTTGAAGGATCTTGTTTTCTTATCCATTCTGACACTCTCTGTTAACTGGTATATTTAATCCTTTGAGATTTAGTGTAATTATTGATGGGTATGAGTTAATTGTTGTCATTATGTTTGTTTGTTTTTTGTGGTGTTGTAGGTTTCTTTTTTCTGTATGCTTTCCTGTGCTGAGTGTATGTTATTTGTGTTCTTGCTTGTCATTTTCCATATAGTTTTAATGTTTCCATGTTCTTGGATTTTCATTTTCTTGATATCTTGTGCAGTATTAATTTTCCTTTTGGTTACCCTATATTCTATTAGCTTTTTCCTCTAATTTAAACCGTCTATTTTATCCTGCAATCTACTTGACCTCCTCATCACCTAGATCTCTGTGCCTGTGTTTTTGCCCTCTTTCACAGTGTAACTGTTTTGATCTCATAGACTGACTTCCCAGATTCTGAATTCATTGTTCTGTTCTGTTCTGGACTCTTACATCTGTTGATAGAGTCCGGGTGTTAACTGCCATATTTGTCAGTCTCTGGTTGTTGTCTGTTCTTATTGGTTCTCAGTCCAAAGAACTCCCTTTAGGATGTTTTGAAGCGCTAGATTAGCTTTGATCAAGTCCCTTAGCTTCTGTTTATCCTGGAATGTTTTTATCATACCCGTTGTATTTGATTGACAGCTTTGCTGGATAGATGATTCTTGATTGACAATTGTTTTCTTTTAGGGTTTTATGTATGTGTCTTCCTTGCTTTCTTGCCTGGTTTCTGCTGAGAGATCAGAGCTTAATCTGATTTGCTTGCCTTTGTAAGCAACATTTCTCTTTTTCTTAGCTGCTTTCAGGCTTCACTCTGATTTGTCTTTGATTTTGGAGAGCTTGATTATATTATATCCTGGTGATTTTCTTTTTGTGACTATCCTTCTTGGGGTTTGTTGAGCTGCTCAAATGCTTATATCTTCCTTTTTTAGGTTGTTAGGGAAATTAGCTTCCAGCAACTCTTCAACTATCTCCTCTGTGGAGTTATGTGGTTATTCATGTTCCGGAATTCCAATAATTTTCAAGTTATTCCTCTTCATGTTGTCCCACATGAAGACTTTTTTCACGTTTTTAAAATCCTTTTTATTTTTGCTTGCTCTTCTGTCTTAGCAGTATTGTGAGATTTGTCTTCCAGCTCACTGGTTCTGGCTTCTATCTCTTCAATTTAACTCCTTTGCCTTTCAGTGTATTGTGTATTTCTGATATTTTATTATTAATCTCTTGAGCCTCTTTTTGAATTGCTTCCAGTGCTGTATCTATCTTATTTGGTTGTTCCTGTAGCGCTTTCCTGACTTCTTCCTTATTTTTCTCAATCGCTATGTGGAGAATTTGGATATACCTCAATAATCATTCTCCTAAATTCCTTCTCAGGCAGTTCTAAAGCCTGCCCTCCTTCCAATGGGATGTCTAGATCTACTTCCAGCTCATTTGTCTCAGTTACGCTATTTTGTTTCTGGACCTATGCTGAGACCTTTTTTAATAAAAATTGTTTTGGATGTTTTCAGTAATTAGATGAAGTGTGTTTGGTGTATTATTAAGCTTCTTGATTGCTTCCAGGTAGATGTGATCAGGAAATGGGCTTTCCTTTTCTCTTTACATAGTATTCAACTCAAAGTAACTGTTGCTGGTCTTGGCTGTCTGTCTGGTGTATAGCAGCTGGTATTGGATCTTGCCTGCATGGTGGGATTTTACAGAGTGTGATTGTAGCTTGGGTATATGATCTCAATTGCTGTCTTTTCTTGGGTAAAGTAGGGCGAAAAAGAGCCCCCCTGAACGTATAAGGGGCACCTAAAACAAAACAAAATAAAAACAGCAGAAAAACAGATTGGGTACTGCAGTCTATAATTACAAAAAAAAACACCCAAAACAAAAGCCTGTAACAAAATATTAGCATGTCTTTAATGCCCTTCTCTGAGCTTCTTGCCTTCAAGGTTGCCTGAGAACTTCCAAGATGCTCCTTATGATAGAACTCAGGATTTAATTTTCAGCCCGTTTCCTTTTTAGGCTGTGTATCTCCCCATCCACAGTCCTTTTCAGATGTTTCTCCAAGTGAGAAACAGCTCAGGGCTGACTGGAGCGGTTCTGGGAGACTGTTTGGTTTACAGCAGTTCCTGTTGGCTCCCCCCCCCCACCTTCTTAGATTCTGCACTGTGGTCTTTGTGGGGCAGATCTGTGCTCATGGTAGTTGAACCCTCTGGGGGTGGTGGGTGTACATTCGCTCAGGCATCCCCTCTAGTCATCAGAGTGGAGGTGTGCAGACAGCGAGAGACTGATGAACAGAGACAAAAAAAATTTCTCACCTTTATCTCTGTGGATCCGTCAGACCTCTGTGCTGGGAGTGCTTCTCTAATCCATCACCCTTTCCATCATGCCCAAGATGATGACTGAGCTGGTGGCTGCTGCAGATCAGAAAACACCACCATTCTTGTTAGTGCTATAAATCCCACTAGCAGTAAGCCTTCAATCATTCTAAGTATTCCTTTACATGTAGTTCAGAGTTCTGGGACCGTCCCCTGAACCTGCTTCATCTGGTCTTCTGTGTTATTGTTTGCGGAGGTCTGTGTCACGTTTCTCTGTAATGCGCCATCAAGCTCACCCCCTCGAATTTCTTTTTAGTATATGTATTTACAGAGTTGTGTAATCATCAGCATAATTGTATTTTAGAATATTTTCATTATATAAACCCCCCCCCAAAAAAAAAAAAAATCACTCCATATCCATTATTCAGTCATTCTCCACTTATCATCCTCCCTTCTCCTATACCCCCCAACTCCTGGCATCTACTAATCTACTGTTTGTCTCTGAATTTGCTGATTCCAAATATTTTGTGGAAGTGAGATCATCTAATATTTGTTCTGTTTTAACTGTCAGCATAATACTTTCAATGTTCATCCATGTCCCAGTTTATATCAGGACTTCATTTATCTTACAACTCAGGGATATTCCATTTCATGTACATAACAAATTTTTGTATCCATTTCTCCATTGATGAACATTGGGATTGTTCTCACCTTTTTGCTACTGTGAGTAATGCTAATGTGAACATTGTGTGCAGGTGTGTGTATGGACATAAGTTTTCATTTCTCTGAGTCTATGAGAACTTAGAGAAAAGTCACATTTTACAACAAAATGTGCAAAACCAAAAGGGAAGGTGTTAACACGGTCAGTATTTCTCAAGCTGGGGGAACTGAAGAAAAAATTCAAGACTTGACTTTCATTATTAAAGGACTCTCTGGACAAATTATAAATGATACAGACAGCATCAAAAGAAGATGGAAGAAATATACAGAGTCACTGTACCAAAAGAAAATGGTTGATTTTCAACTGTTTCAAGAGATAGCATATCTCTTGAAGAAGTTCAAGA